CCAGCTATTTTTGGATGATAAACATTTGTATCAGGTCAACAAAACATGGGCATAGTGACAATTTATCCATTTTAAGTATACTAACCTCACTCCTTTAAAACAACTAAGGCAAAAATGTAATTAATTCAGAAAATATTTTCAGGACCCCACCTTGATCTTTTAGGACCCCACTTTGGGTCCCGACCCCAACTTTGGGAAACACTGGGTTAGAAAGTAATAACTGGATATACATCTACAGCTGATTACCCTTTAAAGTCAGTCAAATTCAAGATGGCCACTGCAGTTTATTGTCCTTTGTCAACTCAGAAATGGCTACGGCTCAGTCAGTTTTWCAGATACTGAGCTAACATTTGATGTGGTAGTAGCTGAGAGTCAAACACAACATGCACTCTAAAGCACAACATTTCAAAATAGCACAACGTTACACAGAATATTCCACCAAAACAGCTTCAACTGCAGCCCTTTTTAACATAAAATGATCTTAGACTAAAACTCTGGCATGGAAGGTGGCTGGCTATGGGGCAAAATAAAATAAAACATTAAAAAATATTAACCCATTTTCATTATTTAGCTCACTTTCTCAGTGTTAAATCCCAATTTAAAAAAATGTCCATTAACATTTTATTATTTAGCTCACTGTTCATACATTTTGCTAAATTTTACTTAATGTTAAATCTTAAATTTAAATGTGTCAATGTAAAAGTTAAAAATTAAATCCTAAATGTTGCAGCTAAATAATAAAATTTACATTTAAGTATTTYAGAACGGATCTTTGCTGTTGGCGCTCAGCTTTAGTTGTGACGTCATCATCAAGTTTTACATTTAGATTTAGAATTTAACATTTTGTCAAAAATGAGCTAAACATAAAAACAGTGAGATGAATAACAATAAAATGTTAGTAGGAAATGTTAGGATTTTAAACTCAGCAGGTGAGATAATGAAACATTTTATTTTTTCACTTGACACCCCAGAGCTAGTGATGTGCATTCCTTCTAAGTATTCTACGTCACCATTAAATTTGATCAAGATTAAGTAAAAGTAAAATTGTCAACACTCATTTATTAAAATGTAAATTTTGTGTTAATTCAAACTGGAAGGAGTCTGTTTCTGATTCTGCAGCTCTCAGCGGCCTGCAGCTGTTCTGTTTGGCACCGTTCCTCAAACAGCAGCTTAAATCGGTGCAGTCTGTCAGGATGACAGCRCCTCCCTCTGTAATCGTCCGTGGGCTTTGATTTAAGTGCAGAGTCGACGCTGCGACTAAAGAAAGCACAGATGTGCTTCGTTAGGAGAAGATGACTCATAGTGACTGTGTGTTATAAACAGGGCAAATAAACCTAYGAGTTTGTCTTTGCTCTAATACTTGTTACATTATTATGGTACATGCTTTTTTTTTTAGAAAGGGGGAGAAACACAGTGGTGAAATTTAGGTCATTGCTTAGAGCAGGAATCACTCAATTTCAGGCATCTTTCAGTTTTTGTCCTTAATTTTTTAATAGACACAAACAAATTCACAAAGGTATGAAATGGAGTTGGTATAAGGAACTAAATATTTGTTTTATTAACATTATGATGATTCAGCACTTGGCTAWGAGCCAGCAAAGCCCTGTGTCTGTTTCTGACTTTCACCAACAAAACCAGAGGAGGGTGCCATGTTTTGTGTTGCTGGGTTTTTGTTTAAAAATTTTAAATTGGAATAATTACTAAAGAAAGGTAAAAAAAAAAGAGTTATGAGTCAAAGAAGAGTAAGGTTCAGCAACATTAATGCAGTTTCAATAACAYAAGCGCTGTTACAGCATTATGTTTGCTCAGCCTGTTGATTTGCATTAACGTATGAAGTATACCTTACATCATCTGAGAGTCCCCATAGAGCTGAGAAAGTGCTTATTTTGAAACAGGGGCTAAAAAGACCTGATGATAAAGACTTTAAATGACCAGTGCATTAAATGCAAATTATTCAAATGTTATAAGGACCGTAAGATGATCTGTGGGGTCCGAAAGATCATGGCTGCTCAAAGCAAATATAAAAGGCTGTTTAGATTTGTTGTTATAAATTAAATCTGACTGGAAGTGATCAGCTCTGACACCKTGCCTCTCAATTTGATGGTCCACTGAGTGACACAGCATTATTTAGTGACCATGGTGGGTCCAATAACAATCAGAACAAACATACAATTCAAGATAAACTTACCCGTACAGCTTCCTGTCCACCTTGATGAAGAAATTAAAAAAGGAAAGACTCTGAAAGGTTAAACATTATGAATTTTCAGGATGTTTTTTTTTTATTTAATTTAATCTGGCACCTGAGCAAYGTTTTTCTTACATTTTTACTTTCACTGTATGTGTGGAGCCAGTTCAATAATAGGTCCTACAACTCAGCTCAGGATGGCTTCTGTTCAGATCAAACGTGCTGTCTATATGCTCAGTGCATTCACAATGCAGAGTTAAGGGAGTTCAGACATGCCATGRTAGCTGAAACAATATTAAACAGCAGGTCTGAACAACCTCTGACTATTTCCTGATGGGTTTTTCCAATTATTTTTAAAGCTTAAAAAAATCAATTACTGTATTTATTCGTGTATAATATTAGAAACTTAACCCTAAAACATTTTAAGCCCCAAAAATGATGATCATATTTTACTTGAGATCATATTATACATGAATAAATATGGTAGCCTTTAAATCAGCTGACTAATCTGATGGATGAGCTCGACTGTAACTGTCAGAAATAATTTCATGTGGGTGAAATAAAACCTGTGTGTATGCAGCTGGTTAAATGAAGACTTTTATATTATAAGCTGCCCCTCTGTGTGTTTATGTGTGTGTGTGTGTGTATGTGTGTGTGTGTGTGTGTGTGTGTGTGCAGAGGCCTCTTCAGGTTGACCACCAACTGACTGAGAAGGCATGGAGGCTGAGGGATATGTACATGCTGAAGTTTCAGATTCCCAGTTTCAGTGTGAGTGCATGTGTGTGTGTGTGTGTGTGTGTGTGTGTGTGTGTGTGTGTG